TATATATATATATATATATAATATATATATATATATATAGATAGATAGATTGTTGCTCTTTTTTAACAGGTACAATGCGATGGATTACAGAAAAGTTGCCATTACACTTGTGCGCATTTCGACTCGAAATTCCACCTACGGTGGGCTTGTTAGTGAAAATATCAGTTTTCAAACAGTTCGTTTGATCCGTGGAAATATCATACTGAAAGTATCGAAGCAATTGAGTACTCATGTACTTTTAATTAACAAATGTTAACGGTATATAATATTTTAATTGATTAATATTTCGTTAAATTTATGTGGATATTAATCAATTAAACATATATATTATATATATATATATATATTATTAACGCTTACATAATAATATCTATGCACATAAATTTAACGAGAATTAAACATCATATACCGTTAACATTTGTTAATTAAAGGTACATGAGTATTCAATTACTTCGATTACTTTCAGTATATTTCCACAGATCAAACTGTTTAAAAACTGATATTTTCACTAACAAGCCCACCGTAGGTGGAATTTCGAATGATTCAATCCCGTGTCGAAATGCGTACACATGTAACGACAACTTCTCTGCAATCCGTCGTATTCGTCGAAAGTACGCGTCGAAAGCAAGAATCTCTCTCTGTCAGTGACTCTGTGTAACAGATACAGGAACAAAATTCGAAGAAGAATCATTCCAATTCCATGGTGAGGACGCACCTCGGTCTTGCTTGTCTGTTCAATCTACGAGTGCTTCGATCTGGCAATGTGAAGGAAAAAGGACACCTTGTCGATAGACTGATGGCCGCACATGTTACAAGTGAATGGGTCCTTGTAACCATGGTAGCCCATATGAACAGTATACATCACCACATTGCCAAATATAATGTCGCAGTACTGACAAGTAAACTCGTGGTTCATCCCGAAATTACATTCCTTGTTAGCAGTTAAAGTCTGGAATGATTGTTGCTGTTCTCCGAATGACTGTTGCAGCTCCTCTTGCTGTTCGTCGTCCGTTGTGTCTTCCTCGAGCACCCGTTGATCCAGTTTCACAGCCTTTCCCTTCCGTCTGCTGGTGCCGGTCTTTTGTTTCGCGGGTGATTTCTCGACGTTCGCGTTATTGGATTTGCTCAAGTCCAGCGGCTCGTATTTAAAGTCCATGCTTTCGGCCACGTCCGGCAAGCAGCTGGTTGCCCCGAGAAATGGTTCCACCTCTTTCTGTACCGTATTGTCAGATATCTCTTCGGTAATACTGCTATTGGACGGAACGTTGTCCCCATTGGGACATCGGACCACCAGATTTTGCGGTGCATCCTCCGGCATGCTTTCCTCGTCCATTGTTCTGAAATACTCCATAAGGACGTTGGACCTTATGTGATCCAATTGTTTGTCAATGTTGTTGTCCTCGGTGGTTATGAACGGTTTGAACGTTAATTTCGGAAGTAATTGACTGTAGGAGAATGCCATCATCGATTGGTTTTGCATGAGTCCGCTTAAACCGTTTATAGGAGCGATACCACTACTCACTACGTCAATGCCATTCACCGGGTAACTTGGCAAATGGTGGTTTACGGGCGACGGACTGGTGACCTCGGACGGACTGAGCTGAGAAGAAGTCACCGGGGCCTGCGTGCTGTTGTCTTCTGTCGTCGACTGATTCGACTGAGTGGCGTCTTCTTGAGACTTGGCCTGAGATTTCGGCTTAGGGCCGCGACGCGTCCCGTAAACGTCGATAATCGGCAGCGGGTTTGGAGAACCGTCCGCATTCAACACCATGGCCGGATCGTGTGAGTACTTTCGCAAATGAAGTTTCAAGGAGTGGCAATACTTCGTAGCATAGGAACAGTTGGCGCATCTATACTGATAAATGTTAGAATGCGACTTCAAGTGACTGTTAAGCATAGATTTATTCACACATGAATACGAACACTTATCACATTTAAACGGTTTCGAGCCGAAATGATTGCGCAAATGATATTCGAGATGGTGTTTGTACTCGGTGACGAAAGGGCATTTCGGGCAGGTCAGAAGCTTCTCCGCTTTGATATGACTGCGGCTGTGGTCCCAGAATTCGAGTTTCGTGATTGCTACAAAGTTGCACTGTTTGCACCTGAAGGTTTTCACTTTCCCCTGAGAATTCAATCGTGGAACTCGCAGCCCTTGCTCGTCCGTCTCTTCCGATTCCTGTTCCGAGCGTTCACCTTGATTCGGCGACGTTCTGTTCTCGTCTTGAACCGACAGCTGATTGAACACCGATTTCACAAAATCCGACACCTCGAATTTCGCCGCGTAATGGGTGGTCAAGTGCTCGGCGAACGTTATTCTGCAAAAGAAGGGACAGTTTCTTCGCTTTGCGCTTGTCTCTCGGTTTGCATTGCATGAAATTAGAAACAGACAGATTACCTGTTCAGCGATGTGAACGTACAAACGGGACATTGTAACTGGCCGAGATCCGAGTCTTCGCTGGAC